GTGTCACCGCACATGGGGAACACACGGGTAGARCACAAATCACACCGTCCTCGCATCAGTTTTCACACCACATCCCTGCCTGGGGTTGTATCCCTCCTTTTTCCCCCTCCAGCACCCCCTGTGCCAGCTCCCAGTGAGGTTTTGGTCCCCAGCACCACTGAGGGACAGCAGGAGGGTCCTGCAGATGGGGAGGGGTTTGTGGAACCGAGCCAGCCTGGCAAGGTGGGTGCCAGGTGGGTGCCAGGTGGGCATTTCCCCAATCCCCAAATCCCACCTCCGTGCCCCACCACAGGACGAGGGGACGGCCGCACAACCCCAAAAACACCCTCAAAACCACCCGCCCCGGCCGCAGGACGCTCCCCACAACCCACGGGGTCCGCAGGGGCTCCCCAAACCCCCGCGGCCCCCCGAGTTGAGGAGGTTGGATGGGGCCGGGAGCGCCGGGAGCCAATGGGAAGCAATGGGAAGCAACGGGAAGCAATGGGAACCATCCGGCGTCTCGCCCACCGCCGCGCTCGCCTCCCCCGCCGGCCGCACACCGCCGCGGCCCACCCAAGTCGCAGCCTTTGGGCATAAATTTGAGAGCCAGGCGCAGGCGGGATGAGGGGAATCTTCCCTCGCTCTGCTCCTGCCAAGAAACTCAAACTGAAACACATTCCTGCTCCTCTCTGCCAAGAAAACCAGGAGCGCAGCCAGCGGCGGGAGCTCTCGGAGCAGGGCTGGCTCCAGACGCCGAAAACGCGGCGCGGGAGGGGGTCAGGGCTGGCCGACCCCCTCCCCCCCCAAGCTCTTCGCCTTTTATTTCCTGCAAACACATCTAAAATCTGTCATCTGGCTCCAGTTTCCTGAGGACACCGGGGCCGGGGCCTGGGGGGGGGAGAGTGAAGGAGATGGTGGGGAAGGAAGAGTTGAGAAAGGGGATGGGAGGGAGTTTTTGGGATGGGATATCGGGATGGTGATACCGAGGGTTGTTGGGGGCACAGAGACCCCAACAGCGATGGGTGATGGAGCAGAAGATGGTGRGAAGGTGGGAGACAAATATGGGTGCTGACACCCTTGAGAGACCAGAAGAAGAGGAGGAGACATCTACAGCCCCCCACCCCAACTCCCCACAGTGGGGCAGGTCCCCATTCCAGCATCCCATGATGGGACAGACCCCTACCCCAGGTTTTCCTGAAGGGACAGTCCCCAGCACCCCACGACAGTGCAGAACGCCACCACAGCTTTCCACCACACCCTGGACGGGGCAGACCCCCACCCCAGCTCCCACCACAACCTGAACAGGACAGA